CCCCCTGCAGCCTGGCCACTGGGTTAATGATAGCAGAGGCATCCTTAGCACCAAGCCACAGGGAGAGCTCCAAGGGCTACAGCCTGACACAGGTTGGAACCACAGGTGGGTTGATATGGACAAGAGAGGAGATGGTGTCGTATCCTCTCTAAGACTTTTCATGAGCCCCTATGCCAAGTGCACCCTCTCCCCTTGTGTTACTACCACAGCCTTAGTGAACCACTATGTAGTTCTCATAGTGTAGGGCAATTGTGTATTTATAGATTCAACTCCTGCACAAGCCTTTTATGGCCAGGATTTCTCACTCATTTGTGTTTCCAATACTGTGCCTGGCCATCCTGTGGGTCTGGGTGATGTCCCTTCCGTCTTTTAGTTTCACTTTTGAAATGGTTGTTCGAGGCGGCAAACTCCGGCGTTAACCTATGCCGCCATCTTGGTTCTCCCTCACAGCTTGCTGTTTTTAATCCCAACTGATAAGCATTAGCTGAAAAAACTACTCAGTAGATTTCTTATAATTTTGGTTTCTAAGCCTGTACAATTATAATGTAAGTATTTGCTATCTGCACTGTCAAACATAAGTGTGTGGCCTTAGATAAGGTGGACCTGGTCCTCCTTGCTAGCCTGGCTTCTTTTGCTCCTCTCTCCACTGCCAGCCAGTCTCTGGAGTGGTTCAAAGAAAACTAAAACCACGACACCCAGCCTTAAGTTGTCTTACCTGTGGACTGACTTGACTTAGGCTGGAGTGAAATCTATCACCAGAACTTATAGTTGCCCTAGTGTTCGGCAATTTAGAAATACCCACCATCTTAAACCATCTAGAACAGGGGTGGCAAACAATGGCCAAATCCAGCTCACCACTAGCTTTTGCGCTATCCATGAACTAAGAATGGTTTCCCATTTTTGAATAGTTGGAGGGGAAAAAAATCTAAAGAACAATAACTTGTAACATATTAAAATTATATGAAAAATTCAAAATGCAGTGTCCATAAATGAAGACTTACTGGAACATAGCCACTTCCCTTTGTGCATGTATTGTCTATGGGGGCTTTGAGGCTACAACAGCAGAGTTGAGTAGTTGTGGTCATGTGACCCACAAAGCCAAACATATTTATTATCTGTCCCTTCACAGAAAAAGTTTGCCAACCTCTGACTAGAAGACCCTTCAGACACTGAAAACTTGTTAACATTATTCAGACTTAGGTATCCTACAGGGAAAGGAGATGAAGGAATATCACAACTTGGAGTCCCCTGATGGGGAACCAATTGTGGTTTCATGAATTTTACCTTCTGTCGGTTAGCCATCCAAACGTGATATTGCCAACGATGTCAATCACCCCCAGTATGGACATAAGGAAAGCAGCTTGCTGGTGACTCACTCCAACACTCAGAGCATAAGGCACCAAGTACACAAAGAGGGGGCTGCAGCCGTAAGCCATAAACAGAACCGAGATGGCTAAAACAACGAAGTCTGACATCAGTAAGAAACTGTACTCCTGCTGCAAAGAGCAACAGAGGCAGGTCTGCACCCATTCTTTAGTCCAAGTTGAACAAGGAGACGTCCGTTTGAAGTCTTGTTTCTGAGTTCTACAGACATGGTTTGGCTCTCGACTTGTCTGGTACTCTTTAAGAGTAATTGGCCGCATCAAGGCACCGCAAACACAAAGATTCAAAACGAAGCCCCCAAGAATGAGGAGTGCTCCCCGCCAGGAAAACTGTTCAATAAGGAGCTGGACCACAGGAGCCAGGATGAAGGTGCCAATGCCACTTCCCGACATGGCGATCCCATAAGCAAGGGCTTTCCGTCTGCTGAAATACTTGCCAACCATGGCAATAGCTGGAGAGTAACTAAGTGCAAATCCAAGACCTGGGGATAGAGAGAACTCTGTGAGTGCCCAGGGACAGCCAAAGAAAGAAAATATCTCAGAATGTAGTTATTTGCACTAAAGAGAATCTGACCTTCTGTTACTCTTTCAAAACACCAAGCTAAAAAGGAGTCTCTCTCCCTTCACCAGTCATCCACAATTTGGAAAGTATAGCATGTATATGACTTTCTTCTTGGGAAGAAAAACCTTAAGGAAATATGACTTCTTTAAAAAATTAAATGAGCCCTAGCCGGTTTGGCATTGGCCTGCGGACTAAAGGGTTCTGGGTTCGATTCTAGTCAAGGATACATTCGTTGGTTGCAGGCTTCCCCCCAGCCCAGGCCCTGGTCAGGGAGTGTGCAGGAGGCAACCAATCAATGTGTTGCTCTCACATCAATGTTCCTCTCTGTCTTTCCCCCTCTCTTCCTTCCACTCTCTTTAAAAGATCAATGAAAAAATATCCTCGGGTGAGGATTAACAAAGACAAACAAAACAAAACAAAACAAAACAAAATGAAGAACTTAAAAACTATTATATAAACTAAATTTCACCCGGCCGGCGTGGCTCAGTGGTTGAACATCGACCTATGAACCAGGAAGTCATGGTTAGATTCCCGGTCAGGGCACATGCCCAGGTTGCGGGCTCGATCCCCAGTTAGGGCATGCAAGAGGCTGCTGATCAATGATTCTCTCTAATCACTGATGTTTCCCTTTCTTTCTCCCTGTCCTTCCTCTCCCGGCCGGCGTGGCTCAGTGGTTGAACATCGACCTATGAACCAGGAAGTCATGGTTAGATTCCCGGTCAGGGCACATGCCCAGGTTGCGGGCTCGATCCCCAGTTAGGGCATGCAAGAGGCTGCTGATCAATGATTCTCTCTAATCATTGATGTTTCCCTTTCTTTCTCCCTGTCCTTCCTCTCTGAAACCAATAAAAAATATATATGTGAAACTAAATTTCAATTAACTAAAAAATTCAGTATAATGCTGACCTAAGAAACATATTCTCAACACCTTTTAAAAAATATATATTTTATTGATTTTTTACAGAGAGAAAGGGAGAGGGATAGAGAGTTAGAAACATTGATGAGAGAGAAACATCGATCAACTGCCTCCTGCACACCCCCTACTGGAGATGTGCCCACAACCAAGATACATGTCCTTGACTAGAATTGAACCCGGGACCCTTCAGTCCGCAGGCCGACGCTCTATCCACTGAGCCAAACTGGTTAAGGCTCAACACCTCTTTTTAATTTAAATTACCCAGAGAATTGCCTCAAATATTCACTGCATATGCAGACACAAGTCTGATAGTCTGGACTACTCTGGAATTTGGGGGTAAGTAGTACTTATGTCCCCACGGAAGTTCCAGAATAATTTCACTTAATTGGAAAACATTGTGCCAATTTTATACATGAACATCACATGGACACACAGTAACCTGAAAATATCCCTTGAGATCAGCAGAAAGCCTCTTAAAGATTTTCAGCATCTATTCCTTTCAAATCGAGAAAATTTGAAGGGCTTTAAACCTGGAATTCTTGGCATCTAATGTCAAAGAAGGAAAAGGAGAAGTCCCTTTTGCTTCTGTTCCCATCAGCAGTGCAGGGTGACCAGTGATCCCAACTGGTCCTGAGGGGTATCCCAGATGTGAGACCCAGTGCTAAGACCAGGACAGTCCCTGGGAAACTGGAATGACTGGACACCCCAACAGCCAGGCCCTTTGGGTTACATAGGAAAGATCCCTTTCTGAGCTCACAGAGCTAGATTTATAGCCCCTCCAGGAGCTACATCAGTTATTGCCCTGATCATGCCACCCCCTGGGGCATAGTGCCTGGACATGAGTTAGTGCTACTTCCCACACCCCACTGAGTGATGAGGCAAACTGCTACCCAGTCCTACCAACCAACCCCACCTTGACCCCACTCAGTCTCCTTATGGAATACATATGTTGCTTCTCTATGAGTTTCATTATGAGTCCCTAAAGCATTGGTTCTCAACCTGTGGGTCGTGACCCCTTTGGCAGTCGAACGACCCTTTCACAGGGGTCGCCTAAGACCATCCTGCATATCAGATATTCACATTACAATTCATAACAGTAGCAACATTACAGTTATGAAGTAGCAACGAAAATAATTTTATGGTTGGGTCACAACATGAGGAACTGTATTTAAAGGGCCAGAGGTTGAGAACCACTGCCCTAAAGTGTATATCCATAAGGTGGAGAGAAAATGTGAAGTATGAGAATATTCTCAACAGGGGCTTTCTTTTTTAACTTGGAAACCCCCATTTATTGGACAATCATATTCACTTTAAAGCAGGGGTGACTCGAGTCAACTGCAGATAGTATTTTAATGTCAAAGATATTGGGAGAATGATCACTGCTGGAAATGCATGTTGCCCTGGCTCATAGCTCATGGCTTCTTAGTACAGAATCTCAGCCATCCACCTCTGCCAAAGGGAAAGCCAGCACTTACTTTTATCGTGTGGCTGAATTAAAGTGGTGGGACATTCTCATTACAGTTGCACAATAAACTGCACTTCCAGCTCTTCTGTTTAACTGCTAGGTAGCTAGACATAGGCTAGGTCAGCTAAATTATGCATCTAACCAAGTGAATAATTTATGAATTATTGTTCTGTTGATTGATTGACAACTCCTGAATGGGGTGGGGTGAGACAAGTGGTACAGTTGTCCTTACCTGTAAGAACTCCCAGAGTGAGGTAGAGATGCTTCAGACTGGTGGCAAAGGAGCCCAGGATGAGACCAGTAGATGCAAGCAAGCCACCCAGCATGATTCCCACTTGACAGGAAAAATGGTTACTGACAACACTCCCAAGTGGAGCTTCAAAAACAAAAATAAATAGGGTAACAGGAAGGCCCTGGGGGCACGGTGAAAAGGCTGGGGTGTTGCATTGGCACAGTAGAGAACGACCAACCTTTAAAGCATCAAGTGTCCCTCCCCCGGCACCCTCAACCCTGGAAACTCATTCTATAGACTTGGAAACTGAGGAGAGAGAAACTGACTTGCCCATAGTCACACAGTGTTACACAGGAAAAGGCCAGGGAGAGAGATAATGGACAAATGTCACAATCTGGCACTGTATTCAGGCTTTAGGAAATCTCTGGAGGAGAAATTGACACCCAGAAAAATCTAAGAAAATGCTCACACCCATGGTGACATTTTGGTTGGCTCGCTCTATTTGTGGTTTAACAATGCGTCAGCATTGTGCCAATTTCCAGGTTTATAAAATATTAATTAAAGCTAGGAGAGACCAATGAGAAATTGCAGCCCAAGGGAATATGACATGCCCAAGATCACCAAAAAGTGTAGCTCAGAGCACCCGATACCAAGTTCAGGGTTATATCACTATTCCTCTGGCTTCTGATGGCAGGGAGGATGGGTAAGGAATGCCTGTGAATTTCTTTCTAAGGAACAATTCATGCTGACACCAGTAATTCTAGTAACGAGATCAGAAGAGCCAGTTCTCTGAGTACCAGTGGGGTATCATTTTTTTTTTTATTGATCAAGTTGAAATGTAGGCCTGGTTCAAATGTACATGACAGAATCAGTCATCAGCCTGACTGATGTCTGCTATCCAGTTAAAACAGTGGCTGGCTGTATATAGAACCTCTGGAGAACAGGAATGAGCAAATCTCCTAAAAGTATGTCTAATTTTCCCGACAGCTGCTGCTACGGTTATTGGAAAAGTGACAACATTTTAACCAAATTCAATGAAAAATGTTAACTTCTCTGTTTATTATAGGGCAGTTATGTCTCCAAAGAGCATCTTAGATGTGATTCTGCAGCCTCATGTTCATCCTCAACCAAGTGAGCAATTGTGAAGTATGAGAATATTATCG